TGGGTCTATCCAATTAAATATGGGCTGGATCTGGATTTTGAAATACCCGGCCCAGCCCGGCCCATGCGGAACCCTATCAGGGATGGCACGTCACAATGTCCAATTGGTTTCAAATTTTTTGGACATATGTCCAATTACAATTGGACATTGTGACATGCCATCCCTGTTTGAGATCATTTTGTACAATGAAGGGCAACACTCTAATGACGACAAAAAATTTTATTTTTCATAAGTAAAATGGTGAAACGTTGCAAGTCGAAAAGGTACTTTAAACTGTATATATTAGTTACCCGGGCAATTGATATACATCAGCCAATCAGTCGAAAATCTTCTTATGATGCGCGTGGCTGTTGGTATTCTATCGTTGCAGCAGTCGAAACCTATAATTTAATATTTGAAAAATATTTCACTCGTGCGTCATCTATTTCTTTTTAAATGCTGAAACTCCATGATCTCAAGTTTTTTTTCCTAACAGTGAAGGAAGATTCTATTGAAGGCATCTACAAGACGTTGAAGACGTGTGCCATGTGCCGTGATTTCGAAAACGGGTGGCGGCATTGGCTTGTTCATAATATTGGGGTCTCTGGGTTTTACAATGAGAAACTAATGGTTACTCGAGTATATCATTCCTATGTTTCGCGTTTATAATAATACTGAATGATACGTTGATCGAAACGCCCGGTGCATTTGCTATTTATTTGAAAATATGGCATCCAGATATTTTCGTTTTAAAGAAAAATAACGGTAAGTAGGAGAGGCGAGCATGAGGTTTATGCTATGCATTTTAATTTCTGATTTATTTATAAAACTGATCGAATCTGATGGTATTTGAGGTACCTGGACTTATGGTTATGAGATATAATATTGAAATAAATCTGTGCCTTGTGAAGCATCGTTTTTTCTTATTGTATAAATTTAGAAATTATATGATGATTACGAACGCCAAAGGCTGGAATGCAAAGTCGTTAAAACCCAAAAATTGTGGGTATTCCGTACACGCCCTGTAAAGATAAAATGTAGTTATTTATGAACTAAGATTGTTGAACAATCTAGCCCTAATAAGATGGCCGTGTGTAATTTAGCGTTCGAAGTTAATTCTTCGGTGAACATAAGCCCCTTCCTCAGTTGACTGTAGGGTGAGTGGCACGGAGGTCATTGGCATGCCAGGGTGGCATGCCTATGGTGGCATGCCATACAGGTGGGTGACAAAAATATTTCCACACCTAAGGACTTGGCTTATAACTCAAAAAACTTACTAATTAACTTATGTCCTTGACTTGACTATATGAAACCTTATCTCTTGATGATTATGTCATATCATTT